TTTTTTATTATAGGAATTTGTATGTAATTTACTACGACTTTAAAAAAAATATAATACTATGACTAGAGAGAGTAAAAGAGACAATAATCTATATAAGAATGATAAAAGAGAGAAGTATAGCTGGAAGAACATAGTTTCACAGAAATATATAACATTATCTTAAATATATATACATACGTCTAACAAAAAATTAAAATATTATAAAATTCTATAATGTACTTCATGGAAAAAATAGAAACGTTACACAAATTTACATCAAATGTTTGATTTAAATATATAGTTGATACAAGATTCTTTTTTTATTTATCTCTAAACCCACTTGATTTATCTACAGATGCAAATGCTATGTTGACAACATAGTTCGAACAATCGTGGCGCTTGCTTCATGCATAGGCTGTGGTCCGAAATAGGGCTCGAGCACACACTTTTGCATAATCGCATAACCATAAGCATAAGGAAATTGATTGGTCCATTTCTTTATGCACATACTTATGGACCAATCAATTTCCTTATGCTTATGGTTATGCGCTTATGCAAAAGTATGTGCTCCCAGCTTTATGGCTCTTGCAGATCAGCGCGATGACGCGATGCGCGATATCCAATGAGAGCTTTATTTTTTCCGAAAATCAGAGCTCTCATTGGATATCGCGCGGGGGCCGATGCCCACGTAGAAAAGGACATACTCTGTTTCGTGCCCCTTGCGTTCTCTCTCAAAATTACAACACACGCACACATATCTATCTCTCCAAAAAATATATATTTATACTAAAAAAACACACCGTTACGACCGGCTATCACAACCTGGCTATTATCTTTATTAAGGGCTAAGGCATTTGCTGGTCTTTCTTGAGCAATGCATATAGTTTTTGATGTCATACTGCGTACTCTTTTGAAATAATTAACATTAAATTATTGTCATAATAATTTATAAAACTATCAAAGTTCGAAACTCAATCTTTCTCAAAACATTTTTTCGCGAACTCTAAGCTCGTTCTATCTTTGTTATTTACTAAAAGTTAAACAAAGATAGAACGATGCTTGAGCTGCTCGAGTGCTGTTTCCGAACGTACCGAAACTAGACAAAAAGTCCTTTAGAGATTTGCTCGTTTTTGCTGCGTTTTGAAGAAAGCAAAACAACAAACAATATGTAAGAAGCATATTTAAAATTTATCAAAATATATACATAACATAACAATAAAAGATTGACTTTAAGTGAAATTGCGGGGCCTCCGGTGGCTCAGTGCCTAGCGCGCCTGACTCACATCCCGGAGATCTCGGATTCGATTCCCGACTCAACCCTGGCCTGCCTAAGCAAGCAAGTAAGCAAGTGAAATTGCCAAGGACATAAAAGTTCTTGACTTTAGAAAATAAAATGTATAATATAATACAGGTTATGTAAATATTGGTGGGCTTCGACCGAAAGTAAGTAACTTATCAATAAATACTTCTTCTTCTCTGATATGGCTGGGAGACTTTCCGAAAGGAATTGTCTATACACCATTAACTAGGTAGGTATAGGTATTATATAAGATAATATATGATAAATTAGGAATTATATATAGGATAATGTGCGAAAATCTCTTTTTGAGTCATATAGAAGGATGGGACCCGAGCGAAATCGAACCCGGAATCTCTCGATCACCAGCCTGCGACTCTACGCCCGGCGCCACGCATCGCCCCCGAAGTAGTGAAGTGGTTAATTGGTCATAAAATAGACGTAAATACACGGTCTATGCTAGGTAAAATTACTAGCATTAGCTATTTATTTTTTATTATTTATGATTTTTTCATATGGAAGGATGTGGGGGATCCGAGCGGAATCGAACCAGGAATCTCTCGATTACCAGCCTGCGACTCTACGCCCGGCGCCACGCATCGCCCCAACTGTATCAATAATCTCGTAGGTCTTGTCCAAAGAGGATTAGATAGAGTGGAAGGTAAGCGTATACAGCGATCAATGCCATCTACCGAGTCTGATGCCCAATTACTTAGCTTCTTCTTGTTCAAATTCGATCGCAACTATTAAAATTTATTATGTAACACATTTCACTTTGATCAAAAAGTGACATTGATTGCATGAAATGAGTGCTTCCATCAATACGAATTCTATATCGCGTAATATCGGGAATGGGAGATATACACTTAGGGCATCAGACTCACGAGAGGGCACTGAAAACTGTATACGCAAAAATACATTACGCTCTTATGGGACCTTCCACTCTATCTATAGTGTGCTTGTATTATGTGCACATGGATTAAATTTAACCTTTATTATCTGTAAAATATCTTTTTTACAAATCCATTATAAATGTAACGGAAAAAATGGCTAGCATCGATTTTCTCGACAGTGTCATATCCACGCTTGATAGTATTCAATCACTAGAACGAGTAAAGAGGTAAATATGAAATGTTAATAGTATTTTTATTTATATTTAATCTAACCTCTGTAAAATGCTAAAATGAGGAAAATATTTTCTATTATTATCGGAAAAAAATTATTATGAAAAATGTATAATAAGAAAATGAGATTTTTTATAATTTTGCTAAAATAATTTTTCTAACGAGATTTTATCAGACTCAAATGAAGTTTTATTCCATTTAATAGCTTATGCAAAAATCTGGTTAGGTTCCGTAGGAATGTAATTCTTTACTTTTCAATTTTAGTGGGAAAGCTAAAGTTGATATAACAGACCTTACGAAATGTGTCTATGACTTTACCAAAGCACAATCCTGTAGAAATACAAATGCATTACCAGAATTAGTTACGGAAGGCTTTGATGAAGAGCAAATTTGGCAACAATTGGAACTGCAGAATGAAGATGAAATAACACATTTCTCTAATGAGATGTCAAAAGTTTTAGCTAACAATAAGAAGTTAATCATTCCAGTAAGTTCTATGAAACCTGAACTTATGCAGATTGAAAATGATAATTTAGAGCAAGAGAATGAAGGTATATCTGATGACAAAGAATCAGAGGGTGAAACTGAAGATCAAGGCAATTTAAGAAAAAGGAAACATGATATAAAGAAGAAAAAAAAGTCTTCTATTGTAGACGACAAATTCTTTAAGTTGCAAGAACTGGATGAGTACTTGACTAAGGAAGAAAAAAAAGAAAAACAGGATGAGAATGACGCTGAATCTGATGATGAATCGGTAGATTTATTTAACGATCTTTCCGAGGAGGAAAATGAAGATAATGCTGAAGGGAAATATATAAAATATGCGGACTTTTTTGACAGCCCCGAAAGTGAAAATGAACAACTTCATAGAAATAAAAATTCAGGTTACGATGAGAATATTAACGATTCTGAAGAGGAAAGCGAAGATGAAGAAATGGACGATGACGATGAAGACGAAGAGAATCAAAAGATCAAGAAAGTTAGATTCAATCTTACTAACGACTCGGACGAGACGGATAGTTTAGAGAATAAAGCAGAACATAGGAAGGAAGATAAAGAGAAAGAAGAAATAGAAAAAGATATGAGACTGAAATCTACTTTAGAGTCTCGTCAAGAGAGATTGTTGACGAGGATTAAGGAGCTGGAACAGGAAGCGATTGGCGAGAAGCCTTGGCAATTAAAGGGAGAAGTGAGCGGTCCAAATCGACCACAGAATTCTTTACTGGAAGAATTTGTGGAAATTGATGTAAACACAAAGCCAGCTCCTGCAATTACTGAAGAAACCACTATGAAATTGGAGGACATAATCAAGCAGCGGATCAAGGATAAGGCTTGGGACGATGTTGAGAAGAAGTTCAAGCCAGTTGAGACTCCGCTGGAATATAAGAAAAAGTTGATATTAGATCAGGAGAAGAGCAAGGAGAGCTTGTCACAAATTTATGAGAAAGAATACTTAAAGCAGAAGCAAACATTAGATCCCGAGAATAACGAAAAAAAACAGGAAGACTCACAATTGCATAGTGAAATTCGACAAATGATGCGTTCTTTATTGTCGAAATTGGATGCATTGTCTAATTACCATTATACTCCCAAGTTGGTAAGATTTGTCATATTTTGTATAAACAGACCAAAGTTCTTATAAATATATTTTGCAAAAAGTAGTTAGAGAGAGGAAAAGTATTTATTATAAAATAGAAATTTCTAAATAGAAGTTATTCTGTAATTTATATAAATGATTTTCCTTTCTGGTTACAAAACATATTTGAGGCATTCTTAATAGTTTTTATAATTATATCTTTCCTTTTTTATTTTTTAGGCTAAACCCGAAATTAAAATTATTAGCAATGTACCTGCAATTAGAATGGAAGAAGTGGCACCAGTCACAACCAGTGATGCTACTTTGTTAGCACCTGAGGAAATTAAAAGTATCTATTTTATATTTATATAATTTTATCCATAATATTCATTTCTAGCCAAACCACGTGGTGATGTTATCGGTAAATCAGAAAGAACGAAAACCGATATGAAACGCGAAAGAAGGCGGAAGAAATTGAAGCAACAGATTAAACAACAGGCAATAGAAAAGAAAGAAAAACTAAAGACATTAAAGCCGGGAATCTCTAAAAAATATGAGGATAAAAAGGAAAGGGCTACGTTGCTTAAGAAAGTAACTAAAGATAGAAATGTTACAAAATTAGATGAGACGACGCATAAAGTCGCGAAATCCTCAACTGCGTTCTTTGAGCAGTTACAAAATCAAGTTAAAAATAAAATTAAAAGAAAAGATAGCTCGACCAAGAAAAAAAATAATATAGGTTCAGCTGTAAAATTAAAATTATAAATTATATATTTTTTAATTTGTTTATATTTAATAAATATCTAATAAAAAAAGATTTAAATAAAAACTTTGTAATATTTTTTATTATGTCTTTTAAAAATTTCCACACATGCTTTTTCTATTATTTTAAAAAATCTTATTGCCTCTTTTATATTATCATTAATCATATCGCAAAGAAATGTAAAAAGAAAAAGTTATTAAAGAACTTATAGCAATATACTCTTCTCTCTCAATGCATAATGTAAGATATGTACACTAAAAATATTTTTTTATAGCTTTATTGCATGATATATTTGCATTTCTAACACCTTTCGTTCTTTAAATCATATTAATCATTTTGCGATTTCTTCTTGCGGAGCTATAATATGTGGGTTGATATTGTGCAAAGGAATATATAACAGTGGATAAGGGATTTGTGAAGTAGTCTCTCTGTGATAGAGACGAATCCGTACTTAACAATCACGCATAAATATTGATGCCTGTATTTAAAGAGGCCCAATATGTTAATTATTGTCAAAAAGTGATGGTACTACTTTCGCCTGTAGGTTCATCAAAAAAAAAATCATGCATATCTGTATAGTTCATATATTAGTGAAAAATGTTCCCAATTCATCATGATATGCTGCAATTTCGTTTCAATGTGCTCATCAAAATTTGCTAAAACACGTACAAACGCGCTAAGTCACACGTGGTTACTTATAAATGCAATTATTCGTATATATGTAACATTATCTATATTTTTTTCATTTAAGAATATCTAAAAACGGTGTCTTGCACAGAGAAGCAAAGGTGGATTACACAATTTTTGTACATTATCAATGTCTTGAACGATTTCTTGTCGCGTGTCGGTTTATATGATTGCACTGTTTATAATTACAAAGATCTAAATTAAAATACATAATTAAGCTAACCTTATGAATCTAACGATAAGCTGGTATTAAAATTACCGTGATTTGTGTATAGATTTGATTGAGAGAAGTTTTTTTAAAAATATTTTTTCTTATTGTTTAGAGTATATCTTCGTTATTTTCATCTTCCTTTTTTTTCTAAATTTCATTATCGAATCGCATGTTATTCCAATTAGAATTGTCATGTAAATTAAAATTACATTGTTTGTATAATAAGCACAGATAAGATATTTACATATCTTTAAAAACATTTGCAACAAGGCTGTAAATATCCATATTTTCAAGCTATTTATTATTTGATTAAATAGCTTTCACAGACATAAGTAAGTTTGCGGAATCAATTTAATTTTAAATACAATATTCCAAATTCATCAAAATATAATCATCGAAATAATGCTTTCAAAGCGTTAAGTGCATTAAAAGCACTCTGTATTAATGACACCTTTATCAATTGCGCGTTTTTGACTTCAAACGATATATTTGTGCTCCTTTCATATTTAATGCCTTGTGCTAAATACCAAACGTGAGTAACACATCTGTGCGTATTATAATCATTTCGAGCCCTAATCAATAATCGCTTGTCATCATGAAGGTACAGTCGCGCTTGATGTCTTAATGGCACTTTCGCTGCGAAATCATGCTCATCAATTTGAACAATTATTTCAAACAATCGGAGCGTACGATGCGGCGATCGTACCGACAGCGTCTGATACCCTCGATAATGGCTCAAACCTTTCGTTATATACGTATGAATTATATGTAAATAACCCGGTAGACTAGGCTGTCCTAATCCCGTGCGATCATTTTTTGCGTAGTCTATATATGCGGTGCTAAATTGTTAAATCGCGTTTCTCCTTTCTCCATGAACGATCCTCCGGATGCTCTGACGTGAGGGTGCGAATTGCGATACCAGATAGGATTAATTAATCCCCAAAGTGATACCGAACGATCGGAGAAAGTCCCGAGAAAGAATTCCTCTAAAGTAGAAGCTGCTTCCCAAAGGCGTGTCGCCTTTCTCGTTGCTACTCGAAGTTAGTATTGAACATGTTCAGCTCTTCGAAGCCGGACGAGCCGCCCTGATCCTGTAACATCTGTAGCATGTCGGACAGTTCTTGCGGCTGTGTGCCGGGTCCGGCCTGTCCAGGATGCGGTGGTTGCGCTTGCGCGGCCACTTGAGCGCCGGTCTGCCCGTCTGGCTGCGGCGTCTGATGCTGTTGATTTTGCCAACCCCACATACCTGCTAACGGATATAAGAATGCTCGATATATCTATTCGATTTTGCGAACAAAAAGTTTAAAGAATGTGGCAAAGTATATCGAGTTTTTACCAGGATTATTAGGCACTGTTGTGACTGCATGATATTGTTGCGTAGCCGGTGTCCTAGCGCCGCTACTGAGCTGCGTATATGTTGGCCCGCTCGGTGATCTCGATGGACTTAATTGACTGTACTGGTATCCCTCTGTCACAGGTTGCTATTGGAGAACGTAGGAAAATTTTGAGATATGTGTAACTTCTCGAAAATATGAAAGAACAAAGAATCAAATACCTGTCTTCCAATCGCCCATGCTTGCGGAGTTGGCGATGTATTAGCCGGTTTCTGAATCCTACTTAAAACCGACGAGGACGCACTTTGCTGTCCGGGTGATCCATAAGCTATCGGTGATTGCGTCGTTTCATAACTTTGATAGACATTCTGCGTGCTGGACGGCCTCGGTTGTTGTGGGCCTGAAAATCATGTATATTAGACATGTTTGACTGTGTAACAAGTTGTTAATATAATGGAAAAAATAGGATTATATAATCTCACTGGCTGTAGCTACAGTTGCCGGATGCTGCATCATATGATGCGCAGAATATAGCGGATCTCTAGCAGGATGTCTTTGAAGGGAATAATCGAGACCAGGTTGTCCATAGGCAGGTACAGCTTCGCTCTCCGTTTGACCATCGTTGCTTGGATGAAAGGATCTAAATAAAAAAACACGTGAACATTTTCGATATGAATGAAAAAGATAAGCTATGTGATATCGTCGAAGGTTTATATCGCATTTTGCATTTCTAATCTATTAGTAATTTTTATAATTGCATTCTTACTTTGCGTGTGTGTTTGTGCAAACAATATATTCGACATCCTCGTTAAATGGATTTAGAAACGCGAATGCCGATGTCCTTAACCACACCCAGTCGCGGTTTTTAGCTCGAAATCTGTACATGACAGATACGACTTGCCCTTTTAATTTCAACACTAAAAAACAAGCCACATATATTAATAATATTGATAAGTAAAATGATTGTGAAATCGCAAGAACATTATATATTACCTTGTTCAAAGCTTTCCCGCATATGTGTTAGATCCTCTGGATGAAAAAATTCGTAGCATGGATGACCTAACAGTTCCGATGGGGTGTAACCCAAAATACCACCGACTCTTTGGTCCACGAAGGTAAATTTACCTTCCGCAGAGTGACGTGATATAAATTCTACAATGAACAAAAATATTATAATTTATGACTAATTTTTTTCTCGCTATGTTAAACGAAAAATAAATAATAAAAACGTATATATACTTACCGCTATTGCTATTAGAACCTGCTAAATCACTACTATTTGGTGTGCTAGTGACCTGTAATCGCCCAATGGCGACAAGGCAACAATGCGTGGTGGCATTCTCATCCGTGACTACACCATCCGGACCAGTCTGAACGCCCCCGGGTCCTCTGTCACCTAGACCCACACCTGGTACACATGGGGGAACAAAATCACCTACAGCGTAAAATCATGAATCAGCCCATGATTTCCCGTTGATGGCTTGAAATATCTTATATACTAAAGCGAAGAATTTATATACTATGTATGTGGATGCACTAACACATTAAGACATGATAATATATTGATAATAATCCATGATTTTAAGTGAAAATTTGAATGTTAAAATCCGATATAAAATTGTCATAAATTTAACGGTTTTTCATTCATTCATTAGTATCGCGCGTGTGCATATTATGTGTACATGCCATTATTTCTAAGTCTTATTAATGTATATAAAATTGAGAGAAAGTATGACTTGAAATTCGAAAACTGCGAAAAGATTGATTGCAGAGATGCCTCTCATATTATAGATGCGTGCAAAAAGCGTCACTGCATTTTTTAACGTAATCGATAAGATTGAATTAACCAGCGGCTGTTACAAAGCTATCGACGAAATAAAAAGAACTACGCACGTGGTTATGAATATTAAACAAATATGTTAACAACCGGTAACTACCGTGAGTCTTTATGGACGACTCTCCATTCAAGTTAAACGACTATTCTGAAAACAAATATTTTAGTCCGGAAAATGTGAATAGAATTAGCGAAAAACGCATATATTTTTTTCTAATTAATAGATTAGTTTCATTATTATTTAAACAAATCATCAAAAATGGCAAAGGAAAAGAGAAATAGTTTGAAAAGATGAATTCTTTTAATTTACCGATAGTAAACACAAACAAAGTAATTATCGTATCTCTGTAATTTGATAAAAGCAAATGCGGTAGAAAAAGATATAGAAAGATAGATAAATATACTGAAAACGGCAGAGTCGACAGATTCAGCCGCGATAACTCGAGGCGATTCTTAATTTACAGTACACACGTAGCATACACGTTCCGCCGTGTTCCAGGAACGGTTCGTTCGTATTCCTCGCGAGCGCGACGTCTCCTCCGCTTTAAAATAGAAAGCCGAGATCCGCTGTATGTCGCATCCGAGAGGGAGAGAGGCAGAGAGACCGGTAACGGTGGCACATTGTACGATCTTGTGCGCGGTTTCTCTCAGACATTGGAAACCCGTACGAAACTCACCGGTGGGTGGCCAATTCTTGATGTAACCGGTGCAGTGCACCACCGCGTAATTCTGGCCATCCCGCGCCGGCGGACCCAGGGAGTTCCTCTGCTTCATACGGTGCAGCCCGTGCGCTGCCGCCATGTCGCCCGTCGTCTGTAGATTACCGACCTTCATACGGCAAATGAAACCTCTCCTCGAACCCATGCATAGCCGCATCGAAGCTACAATGAAATCGGAATAGTGAAAAATCCCGTATGAACGTATCTTACAAGTACGAGTATTTTATTGTATCTTGGACGGTTTGGACACTTTTGGATCATGGTACTAAAAGTCGGAGAACGCGAATGATTCTGGCGCACACAAAATTGGCATCCGCGATAACATAGAAATTTTATAAGAAATAAATGATTTATCGTTTACTTACATTGGCCCTCTTTTTTCACCGTTCCGGTTTTGAGATCTAAGACTCTGCCACCGTGTTGCGGTTCCGCCGCGCTGAGCTGCTCTCGTACCTTCTCGGTGTCGTCCGGATGAACCTGTGAATACAGACTGGTGCCGTACCAATCGCTCTGCGTGTAGTTCAACACGGGCGCGACCGAATCGGACACGTAGATGATCCTGCCTGTGTCACAGCTCACGACGAATAGAAAACCATCGGCCGCTTCGAGAATCAAATGCTTCAGCTCTTGATCGGTGAGAAAAGAAGGTTTGTAGGCGTTGTCCGTGGCGGTATTTCCGGTACCTGCGACACACGACGTTCAATTTTGCTTTGATAATGCTCATCGCGGAAATGGGACATGAGGATTTGTAGGGAATAATCTGGATATATCCGATTCGGATTTATTATTAAGTCTTATGTAGGTGGATTTATTACGAACGCTATAACGCGTTTTCATTTCGATTTCTTTTATCTACCAACACTTTGATTATTGCAATGAGATATTCCATCTTCTCGTATTAGTAAAAGATTTTTATTAAAGAAATGCAGAGTTCTTTTACGTACATACAAAACACATTAAAGAAAGAAAGAAATAATAACGCGCGGATTAAATTTATAAAATTATCTAGTTTTAAGTTTTCAAGAAGAAGAGAACTCAATATAAAATTCATCAAAGAAAGTTTCTCCTGAAGCGTGATGCAAATCTCCAAAGCACTCCGGCGAATTCCTAAGCAAATCGTGTCCTATCGAATATTGAAATCGAATAACGCCTCTCGATAACACAGCTAGTCGTCTTTCGAAGTCGACCTCCGAAGAGACGCGAGGTCCGAACGCCATAGTGTGGTACCAAAAATGAGGACGAGGCACCTCGCCAACGGAGGTAACTATCGAGGTGCAAGATCGGAATTGCAAAGTGGACGATGGATCCGAGAGAGAAAGAGAAAGAGAGGCGGGAAGAAGAAAGAGAGAGAGAGAGAGAGAGAAAGAAAGAGCGCTGCGATGCGATCTTTACCTCGATATACGGAGAAATTCCGGGAAGAGATACTTTAACGACTTCCAAACAAGATCTATGGAAGACCCTCGGTGACCTTCGTTACCATTATTTTCCACGTGGTATATGTCTGCCGGTCGGACACGTTACTCCGTAATTATCAGGAAAACCAATGTATGATTAATGATGATTATCGGGTATTTTTCAAATATTAATTCTTTTACAATTATACAAATGACTATTCTTAATAATTTAGATAAACTTAAATGTTATCATATATGATGCACAAAAAATTGCCATATTTTTTCTTTCGATGTAAGAACGATTTTACGATTTTTGTGCATTCTTGTTTTACTCCTCGGAAAAAAAGATATTACAATCCTTCTGTCTACAACATTCTTTTGGACACAAGATGTATTTAAGGAATATATAAATAAACATATTAATTTACAAAAAATCATAAACATAAAATTCACACTTTTTTTCTTTTCGTAATAATGCGATTATTTACGCAGTCAATAAAGAAAATCGGGTTAAATATCATTAGATTAATAAAAGAAATTCGCTTGAAATGGATACACGCCATTCGATGCATTCTACATTTTTGGTATGCAGTCTCACGCACGGTAGCCGTTTAATTGTCATTCCTATGCATTCTAACACACTACGATCTAACGCAACAGTGTCATCGACGGTGTATCGAGGATTCTTGCCATGGATACCTTCGATATTATCCAAGTATTATGGTGAAATATATTGTGCCATTATTCTTATATATATTATTTTTATTATATATTTATATTTTTATATATATTTAATATCAAATGGCTTTAGACAGTCCCTATAAAATTTCAAGCATTTGTTACATTTTTTAAGTATTACTATCAAGAGTATACTACAGAACCAGGAAGTGTTGCTTTTGCGTATTTAATGGCTAAGAATATTCTCTCTCGGCTTTAAGCATCCATGAGGTGACATCTCGTCGGGTGCACCGTGAGCGTAAAAAAAGCGCTGTTCTCGCGACAGAACGGCGTCGTTGTCTCCTATCGTTCGCGCTGAACGGTTCTTCTTCAGCCTCCTAGAAATTTTTATCGCTGGCGTCCCGGGGTCGTAAAAAATCTGCCTGGTGCTCTCTCGGTAACTGACGTACGCGTCTTGTGGCGACCGCATAATACTCGTTCACGTAGCGCATGCACAAAGTTTTCGCGCGCGTAAACGGGTATCCTTTCCCTCCCTCAGGTGAGAGAGGAGAGAGAGAGAGACGGACCCTCCTCACCGCCTCCGAACGAGAAAGCGATTTGTATGCAGCGGCCCTCGTCGTCGGGAAAGAGGAGAAGCGGCTATAAACAACGCGACGCACCACCAATACCTAGGTGGAATCACGGCAGAAGCTGGCGCATACATAGATACACGCGCGCGCTCACGCACAATACGCAGCACGCGTCCATCGGTTACAGGGCTCTCTCGGAGGACTCAGGTAGATGGCTAGGTGTATCCGGCAGAACCACCAAAGAGACAACCGCCGACGGACGAGACTCACAACTCCGCCCATCGTGCACACCGGAAGCATATATCGCGCTCACTGCATTCGATATGACCGTCACCCGTTTCTCGAAACCCGCCACGACGTTACGGTACATCCCTCCCTTCTTCTCCATCTATCTCTCCCTGAACGAATCTCCTCATTAATCAGTTGTATATATATTTCCGAGAGTCTGTCCGTACGTAAATGTCCGCGGGGCCCTTTAAGTTCGCATAATCGTTTCTCTGCGCAATTTCTCCACTTTGTATGCAAAGTTTCATTTGAATTTCTGCCTCGAAACTCTTGGCAATCTTTAGCAGAATTACAAAGTTGATTCCTTTTCTTGCGCGCGCACTTAAAAATTATTCTAGTTCTTGAATCGAGAATTTTATTACATATAAAATATAATTGTATTAATACTCCTCCTATAAAGTTCTCTCCAAGAATAGAACATGATTCTTCAGATACAAGATCAATAAGAAATGTTTAATGATATTAGCACTAATCTAAGCTTTTTTGGAAAATAATAACGCAATTTCATTTAATGCTAAAATTTTCTTATATAATCATCTTTAAAAGATCAAGATATAGGTGCCTTGTACAGGTTCAAAGTTCGACGCAGACTGTGCAAAAGATCTTTGTGCGATATCGGTCCCTGACTCGTCTTCGGCCTAACAAGGAAATCGCACGACTGTCGGTGGTATAAGTATCCTAAATGCGCTCGTAAATTCTCGCCTCTGTCAAGACGGAAATCTAGCCGCGTTCTCGTCGACCCGGGAGGACTTAGGCGAGTGTTTTCCGCGTAATCGATAGTCGCAGGCAGGTACGTAACATAACGTATGGCAGGTCGACTACGGCCGTAATTTAATCGCCTTCATGTTAAGGCTTTCGAGATTTCGCGTTGCGTCCAAGTTATTGCATCGCTCGTGCCGGATAACTCAAACATCGCTGCAACTTAATCGTCACGTCTCGCGTCGAAAACTGCAACGTTTCTTATCGATGGCGTCCGGAGGGTCGATCGAGAGAAGGAGGAAGAAAGAATGAAAAAGAAAGAGCGAGCGAAATTTGTTTCACCGAGGAAAAAAAAAAAAAAAATCTGCTGGAATGTAATTACAGCGACTAAAATATAAAAAGAACAACGTAGCTAAATAAATAAAAATTTATAATAAAATATATAACTGAGAATATAAAAATTTAGTTACTTCTCGAATCTAATGCATCAGTAAAATGCGGAAGTTAGATTTAGGAAAATATGGTAGGAGCACAATCTATTAAAAAGAAAAAAAAAAAAAAAAAGAAGAAGGGAGAAAAACTTCTCGGCAGGATTTACCAACTTTGCGACGCATGTGAGTTCGAGCACTCGAAACTTAAGTTAAATTCAAGTGGCTTATGAGTAGTCCGTAAGTTATCGACGTTCGAGATTTTTTCGTCTCTCGACGAAAGACCAACTAGAGAACTTTCTACTTTAAATAAATCGGATGGCTTTTCAACATCTTGCCATCGTATTTTTCACGGCATTTTTGCACGGCCGAAATGCAATTTACTCTATGACGTACAATATATCCCACAGAATTTAAAGTCGATTTCTTTTTAGCGATTATTTCATTAGAAACTTTTCAAATCTCCTAACTTTTTAAATATTCTGGGCATCAAATGTCTTCGACTCAATCTTAAAACAAAGTTCTATTAAAATAAAGTTTACTTGAAATTTTTTTATCCGAGAAGAGAAAAAATGTACCAAATGCGCAACCCATAGGTATAACAATATTTCAACAAATTTGAAATATTTTGATAATCAAAAAATAAATTAACTTAATTACAAAGGATTAATTTAAGATCCTTTGAATTCGTCAAACATAAAACATAATTGAGTTTCTGAAGGTACGTAAAGTAAAAGGATGGGGGAAGAGGAGGGTAATCTTATCGTAAATAACTTTCTGTGAAATCAAAGAAGGCTACTCACCTCTGAGAGCTTTCATGTGCGCCACTGCCATCCTCAAGATCGTGAGCTTGTCAGGTTTCCGGGCCAGGGCTGAACAGGTCGGCACCATATCGGAGAGCTCAGTAATGTAGGCAGTCATCTTGTTCCGCCGCCGCCGCTCTATCTCGCAATGATTCTCCCTGCAGTAAGTCGCAAGACAAAACCGAGGTAATTGCATAGTTCAAGGAATCGGTATGCGGTTTCTCGTACTAGGACTAAAAACGGCGCGAACAACGAAGAGTCAATGCCGGAACAGTCGGAGAGACAGAAGTTTCTTGCGCGTCCTGCACGAGAGACCGCGAGTCGAGGAAATAGCGTGAAATAACGTTCGCGATACGGTATCCAATTTACATCGAATTGCGCTTTTTATATTTATGTATAATCGCGGGCTTCTCTTCACGTAAAGTACGATATTAGAATTCATTCGTCTACGGACGCTATTTACCAATGTGTGCTTTGTTTCAATTCAAATTATATAAAATTATAATATATTATATATAATGTTTATTTTATCCTTTTAAAATATACGTATATTAATAATATTTTTTATTAAACTTCACATATGAAATAAAATCATAATCATATTTATATTCATTAGCAGTTGCCTTAAACTTCTTGCGTAAATTTATCATATTTAACTTGCAATTAAAGCTTCACATAAGACACGCTAACTAAAATTAACTCAACTACGGGCGTCGTTGGCGCCATGATCGATTCGGCCGATAAATTCTCGAGTAATCCATCTAGCCGGGGGAGGATATCGGGGCGAGACCACAATTTGAGGCCTCCCCTGTTATTACGCTACCAGAGGGTAACCGCCGCGGATAACGGCCGGGCACGTCTCCCTTTACTTGGACGGCGAGCTGCGTAATCGTCGGCGCGCAAATCGTAAATTTAATGGCATTTAATTCGCGACAATTTTCCAGGAAAGTTCGCGATAGGGCAGACTCCGTGCGCGGATTCGCGCACGCAACACGTAAGTCGGATTCCCGCCCGATGCGCAAATCGAGCGGCGGTTAATCCGTTATCGACGCTCTAACGTCTCTACGTTCGCGAAACCGCTCATTTCACCACAAATCAACTTTGCGAACAATGAGCCTTCTTCACGGTCTAGTTCACGATTTCAATTATCTTCTATCTATTCCACACAATGTGACTAATCTAAAGCAATTGTTAGCAATACAAATAGGTATTTACAAGACTGGTACAGAGAGCTAGGCGCAAAGAAAATTTTATATTTTATTCTCTATATTTCGTAAAATTCAAGTAAGTGTGTAACTTGTAACAATCTTGATTGTTACAATCATCGTGTCCATTTGAAGATAATGGCTATAGAATTGGAGAAATTAAGAACTACATTTCCTGATAGTTTGATTGCTATTTTCTGAACGGACGTCTGCCCTGAAACGAGAATAAGGAAAGACAGACTAGTTCATGAAATGATAAAAAATTTGCTCCACGGAATGGGTAGTTTCACAATCATACGGTAACATCGATATCCCGTCCGGACACATAGAATGCGAGATTAAAATTTGATATCGATATGCTGATTGGTTTGCGCTAACCTTTTTTTCTCGATGTCTACTCGCCGCGACATGAAATATTGAAAAATAAAATTGATCCGTTCAATGGAGAAGGGGGGAGGAATGTCGTCTGGACGCAGTGAAATGTATCACACTTACTTACATATTACATTTATATGTGAAAATTAATTATATTTAATAATTTTAATAAACCCTTTGCACTCGCGAGGAATTCTTAATATTCACAGTGCTCATTGAAACTCAAACTTAATTTCGAAAATCATTGTCTAGATTTGACAATATTTTTGCATAATTACTCAAATATAGCAATTCACAAAAAAAAAAAAAAAAAAAAAAAAAAAAAAATTTCCTTCCGAAATTATTAATTTGTATAAGTGCACTGCGGAACTTTCTTGGGAATTGAGAAACTAATAACTGATATTGATAGAATTAACTAGTCCATGTTAGCTCTCTGAATAAAAATATAGAATTTAAAATCTGTGAAAAAAAAAAAAAAAATTAGAAATAAGTAATATTCATAATTTATCTTTATATTTCTTTTATATCTTTTTTGTCACCCGTATTTGGTAAAATGCGATTACAGAAAAGATGATCGAAAGAACACAATAGTGGCTCTCGCTTAATCGAATGGTATGAATATTATGAAAAAAAAAGAATCGCTAACATAACAATTCGGAACTTTCAAAACAAAATAATAAATCGAAGAAAAGGTAAAATCAGTCACGTTGCAAGTCAATGCCGATTGCCTTTCGCATCCCTCTCATTATACGATTCCGTGCAATTTTTTTTTCGTTGAACAGGCGGTCGTTATCATTATTATTATCTCGTCCCGAGGACCAAAGGGATCCGTAACGCTCGGCGACGTCGTAGATGGCCCCGGCAGAGGCCCGCTATTTAAAAGAGGCCACAACGCTTAAAGCGCGAGTATAAAGCAGAGTATGCATCGCGCGGCGTAGCGAGAGCAAGAGAGATGTAGAGGAGAGGAGAGGGTTGGAGAGGTGGAGGAACGCGATCCGTGTAGAGGAGAACGGAAAGAGAACTCCTGGGTCAGAGGTCAGACGCTCCGAAGTTGCCCGCTCGCTCCGTGGGTCCAGCTCTGTGTACCGAGGCATACCGGGTGTCTCGATACTTCTACACATCCAATTCTCTGATCCTGAGCACTCTCGTGATATATTAGCCCTGTTACTATGTTTTATTGTATCTTATTTTTCTTCGTCGCGTAAAATTGATCTTTTCAATTAAATGTAATTTCTCTCGATTGTGGAACTCTCTCGTTTAGAACGTCATTAGAAAAAAAAAAAAGAAAATTCTCTGTCCTAATAAACATTAACATTAACATAGACGTTAATAAAAATTATTTGGTTTTACAATAACATCTAGTTAGTTGCAAAAAGAGCTAAATGCACATTAATATAAAATATATTAAAAGATTTTTACCCGAATGGACTTTGACTATACAAAAAACAAAATTTTTGTGGCAAAATACAAAAGGCCACAATAGTTTCTAATCGATAACGATTATTAAATATTTACACTGAAGGCGAGCCACTATAAACCGAGATACCGCATTTACCACGCTATTCGATACACAGAGTTCATCGGATGCTGCGGTAGACGACACGGTAAAAGTGCCCTGACCCCTAGGCCGGAGATCAACACTGACCCCGTGACACCGGTCACGTTACTTGAAAAAGAGGATACTAGTTGAAGGTTGAGATAGTAGATCCCTTTATCCGCCGTGACTCCGTTTCAAGCGTAAAATACGATGCATCTTGCGCAAGAAACTTAAAACTGTAAGATAAGACGAAATATAAAACGCGATTTATTTGCTAATTAATTAGCAGTAAAAAGCAATAATAAAAATATGCGATAACAAAAAATGACATTTATAGAACAAGGAACATTAGTGAATGCGAATATGATTATGCAGAATGTTTGGCACTCATACACACATTTACTGATACTTAAATTATCATAAAATAATTGCATTTGTAAAGAATGTCTTTTGTTTCGAAAATTCGGCCCATATAAAATAATCTTGAATTTTTAAAGTTGTTATCTTTTTCTACATTTTTCTTTTAAATATATAATTAAAATTTTTGTATCTATAATCATCGATCGTTAGAAGAGCCATAAAATTATAGGACACTGGTTCAGTTGTTTGTCCAGAGAGTTGCGTTCGTACACCCTGTACACGGCTTTCTATGTCGCGTTGATCTAGTGTTGGTTCAGAAATACACGTGCTACACATACGAAGTTTCACGAAGAAGAAAAATTATCCCGACGTACAAGGAGGAGGCGAGATTGCGAAGAAAGCGAGTTATCATCGAATCGCTCCGCATTTAGGGACGCTGCGATAGATAGTTTGTTCTCGATATCTCTCCGAGTACTTTCAATGTCGTCCAACATGCTTTATCTTTGATATTAGATAACGAGTTGTTATACATGATTATATAAAGGTTTATAATACAATTTACAAGGCGATTTATAACGTCTGTTCAGAAGATTGTCTAATGACTCTTCTCCTTGCCGGGTATTTTAAATATTGTTAAAAGCACGTGTGCGCATCAATTTATGAATTTACGAAACAAAGTTGTATACGAATCACCGTTACTCAATTGCATAATTTATCGTTACGATTTGCTCCCTGCAAATACGCGCGATGTGCATAAAATTAAGGTCCTTGTATATGACAGTAATAAAAGAATATAAGAATAATAAACGTAAGAGTTAACCGTGTATTTGTATCATTTTGATTACTGAAACAGATAAAGGAACAGATGCTAACTTTATACAACGAATGATCCGACTACGATCGTGTTATTTGTGTTATATATATATTGAGAAAAAACTTTAATGATAATATAACTTCCTTATTTCGTATTTCCATCTTGTTTGCTATTCTTTTCAATTTATATTCTAATTTGATATCCTATCGAATCTTGCACGATCCTCATTCTTTTTATATTTTGCAGCAGAAATTCGGAAATTGATATTCGATGACGCTTCTTCTTCTACGCGTCAAATATAATAAAAGATAAACTTTAAATAAATTTTAATCACGATAGTTGTCGTTGCAACGATTGGAGAAATTCCCAATATGTAACCCCCGGTTAATTTTCCCGTATGTTCACTTTGCAGCACACTGGTTCAGTTATCTGTCCAGAGAGTTGCGTTCGTACACCCTGTACACGGCTTTCTATGTCGCGGTGATCTAGTGTTGGTTCAGAAATACACGTGCTACACATACGAAGAGTTTCACGAAGAAGAAAAATTATCCCGACGTACAAGGAGGAGGCGAGATTGCGAAGAAAGCGAGTTATCATCGAATCGCTCCGCATTTAGGGACGCTGCGATAGATAGTTTGTTCTCGATATCTCTCCGAGTACTTTCAATGTCGTCCAACATGCTTTATCTTTGATATTAGATAACGAGTTGTTATACATGATTATATAAAGGTTTATAATACAATTTACAAGGCGATTTATAACGTCTGTTCAGAAGATTGTCTAATGACTCTTCTCCTTGCCGGGTATTTTAAATATTGTTAAAAGCACGTGTGCGCATCAATTTATGAATTTACGAAACAAAGTTGTATA